CATTGACTTAATTATATTAAATCGGAAACTAACACTCCTAAAAAGAGTAGATCAAATCCCATATCGGACTAACCAGTGCCATCTTGAAATTTTCTTTTTAAATGACTAAAAAATCAAATATATTTTGCAAAATTAAGGTTTTTTTTTATATCAAACTTGAAACACTAACCCATCCCATCGCTGTTTTTCAAAGGTAGACACTATAGTGGAGTTAATGGGCCTTGAACACATAAATGGGCCCACCGTAACTGTTAGCCCAATATAATATTTTTCCACCGAGCCAACCACTTGACTCTCACCCAGTCACCACCACCCGACCGGACAGTGAGATTCTTGGAGGAGAGTGTGAAACAATGGCGACTGACAAAAGATGGTCTCTCGCCGGAAAAACATCTCTGGTAACCGGCGGTACTCGTGGAATCGGGTTTGTCTCTCTTCTCTTTTCAATTCGATTCCATGACCGATTGCTTTCGAGTTTTCTTCCGGTTAAGACCCCTGAGTTCTGCAACGGAGATTTGGAGATAGATTTCTGGAATAAGGAAAGCACAAATCTATCTCCAAATCTCCGATTTATAAGACTGATCTACTTTTCGTGATTTGATAATGGCGATAACAAATAAAATGCGATTTTTTTGTTGGCTTATCCTGTGACTGTTTCGAAACTACTGTATAGTGATTAGGGATTTGTTTGATAAACCTGATGATCATCCATATTGAACTTTTTCAACAAGATTTGAATCGAATTTAGGGGAAAAAATTGTGATTGCACGAGAATTGAGTGCATAATCTCTGTTTTTTGTTTCCCCTGGGGTATAATCTTCAGGCGAGCTGTAGTGGAGGAACTAGCAAGATTCGGTGCAAGTGTTCATACTTGTTCAAGGAACCAGGAAGAGCTAAAAGCATGCTTGGATGATTGGAAATCACATGGCTTAGTGGTATCTGGTTCGGTTTGTGATGCTTCCGTTAAGGATCAGAGGGAGAAGTTAATTCAAGAAGTGTCGTCTGTATTTAGCGGCAAGCTCAACATCCTTGTAAGTTATCTTCTCCTTCAAAATACTGTTTTGTTACACATTAGAATCACCGTTGATCTTGATACCGTTTATTGCATTAGCTCAGCATCCTTATAAGTTACTTATTCGGTAGAGCTATCTTCGAACCAATCTGCCACAGTTTTATCAGGTTTCTACATTTGTTTGGTCTTAGCCATGAGTTGGTTTCGACTTGTGATGGTTTTGCCTTGAATGTTCGTTAATGTACGGCCTACGGTTTTTGTTGAACCATATAGTGATGCTTGTTGATCTCATATGCGAAATATCTGTTAGAAACCTTATCGGCTCAAGTTAGGGGTTTGAATCATTCTTCGTTCGCCCTTCTGAAAATTTTCTCAACTTGTTTTGTATACAGATAAACAACGTTGGAACTAATATCAGGAAACCAACAGTCGAGTACTCGAGTGAGGAATACGCAAAAATCATGTCGACCAATTTAGAATCTGCTTTCCATTTATCCCAAATTGCACATCCTCTTCTAAAAGCATCTGGGGTCGGAAGCGTTGTGTTCATCTCCTCAGTAGCTGGTCTGTTGCATCTTCGTAGTGGATCTATCTATGGTGCAACTAAAGGTGAGTCCATGTTATTCGTTGTTTAGATAAACCAAAAATCAAAGGAGGGTGAAAGTAGATAAAATTACGGGTTTTTTTTTCTTTCTCAGGAGCACTTAATCAGCTTACAAGGAATCTAGCTTGCGAGTGGGCAGGCGACAACATCAGGACCAATTGCGTGGCGCCGTGGTACATCAAGACCTCACTTGTTGAACCGGTATCTTTTCCTATACTCTACCATGCCCTAAATCAATACATATGGAACATGTTTCACTTAAATGGATATAAAGTTGTTGGAAAAAAGATAAGGGATGAGAACAAGTTTTTCCTATGCAGTTACTTGAGAAGAAAGATTTTGTGGAGGCGGTAGTTTCACGGACCCCACTTGGGCGCGTTGGAGAACCAGAGGAAGTTGCGTCGCTGGTTGCTTTCCTCTGCCTTCCCGCAGCCTCTTACATTACCGGACAGGTAATTTCTGTTGATGGAGGACTCACCGTCAACGGTTTCGACCACGTTATGTAGCCCAAACCTCTCATCGCAACTTTACTTTACTAATAAAGCATGAATCTGTCTGTTCGTGAGGTTTTTGCCCGTTGGTCTTTCTTGTCCTTGTGTGTTTTCAGTTTGGTTTAGCTTTTGTGTAAAGGTAATACCCTCACATTTGTATTTTAGAAGTAGTCGTTGAATAAATCAAGGCACAGTTATGCACCAGTATACCAATAACTTCCTTCTCTACATAGTACATACTTATCATATAAGTTAGCTACAGACAACATAATCTGACTTATCTTGAACAACACAGAGAGATTGATTACAAACCCATAT